ATTCGGTTGTGGACATAATCCTAGAAGACAACCGAGTAGTATCGCACGTTCCAACGATGATATATATAACATTAAAAATCAACGTAGTATTACTAACAATTTGATTACTGCTAGAAATGATCGAAAGGTAGAGAGAGAGAGAGAGAGAGAGAGAGAGAGAGATAGATAGATAGATAGTAATGAAGATATATAGATGTATAAATATAGATATAGATATATCTGTACTGTTAGGAAAATTTGAGACCCGATCTTCACTTACTTATAAGCATCAATCTATTAAGTTTGATTAAGAGGAATTGCAAACTACGGGAACGAAAATTTGCGATTAAAAGTTTTGAAATAAGTGGATATTAACCTTGATCTTGTATTTTTTCTAGCCTATCCTAGAACAAGCTCGGATTTTTAGGTTTTTTAGAGGGAGACGGAAATGTATCAGTGGAGATTTTCCATTTTCATTTTTAGGAAATATTGATACGATTAATATTAATATTATTAAAAGGCTTACTTTTATAGACATCATATTGCTATTATTATTATTATTAATATTATATCCACACTTGATTACATCATTACCAAATCAAGAATTATCGTCTGTACTTGAGATGCTTTTATCACTATTATTCTCACTGTCTTCATCCTTATCACTAGAATTTCTCTTATCGATTACCCAGTATTATTTTTATTGGACATGAAGCATAAACATACTATGAGATATTATTTTGGGGTTTCAGATATAAACATATTTAAAATAATTGGACAATTCTCCTCTTCGTAGATAAATCACGATTTCCGTATTCTTTGTGACCGATTTATTTATATAAGGTAGAAATTTGATGTTTCTAGCACTCCTGAATTTTTCACTTTAAATTTCAAATTCTAATCCTCTTGCTAAACTTCAAAGTTCATTTATAAAAAACGAAATTTGAAAAAATGAAAAATATTTGTAGAAGAAAGTGAAATAAGAAAATGAAAGTTTACCTTACTTGTCGAAAGTTAATTAATAATGGGTACAGTTTATATACCAAGAATAATACCATATCAATTCTTATTATATAGTGCGTTTGATTTTGGTATTTCTTTCTCCTTAATCTCCCTAACTTTTTCTTTTCTATCAACTATTTCTTAGTGTATCGAAAATAATTTAGTGTGTAAGCCAACAAATATCACATGATGGTAACATTCTATTGGCCATAGGTCAAGGCATATTATTTGTCCTGCTTGCTGTCCATTTTTCTCTTAGTCGATTTGCTTTGTCCTGTACTTATTATGAAGTCGGAATTTCAAAAATTGAGGAAAATATAAAAGTCCGAAAAATTTGCTAGTATACTTCAGTGTTTTTGCGTCCAATCACTAATTATCCATAATTATTTATTGCATTTCATTGTGTCTTGTGGAAGAGTTGAGGAAGAAATCACATTTTCCTGTTCATTTTTTGGCATTAATTACATTTTCTGTCAATTTTTTAAGTACTTACTAAAATTTCAGTGCTGGTCAGTATGATGGCGTCCTCAACGGAGGAGGACGACCATCATGCGGAAGATCCACACAAATCCGATTTATGGCAACAAACGCTTCAAGTAGATTTTTTCCTTTCCTTATTATTCATGCAAAATTTGAAGTTTTTCAAAAAATTTCTTCAGCTTCATTAATCCTTCAAATTTCGAAAAGTAACCGATCAGATTTTTTCAAAATAATTTGATCAAACTCTTTCGCAGCAATTATGTTGCTATAATTTTTTGTTTCTTAGATGCAGAAAGTGTTTAAATTTTTGTCAATCTTATAAAAGTTTGTGCAAGTTTTGTGTGAAGATTTAGAATTGTTATATGTCAGTAGCAAAAATAACGCAGCGACTACATACTTTTTCATACTTCTAATAAAAGTTCATTTCAGGCAGCAGTTGCAGCCACATCGCAATCAGAAGCTGCGAAAAAACGGCAGCAACAACGTAAACCGATGCGGCAAAGTAATGTAGTAGAGAGAAGTGAGCGTTCATTGTTGTGTCTCACACTCTCGAATCCTCTCAGGAAGGCTTGTATAACAATTGTTGAATGGAGGTAAAATTTTGTAACTTATGACAAAATAATCGACTGAAGAAAATGTTTTCACAGGGAGGAATTTTGCTGTAGCAAAATTTGTTGTTTCGCTGTTTTTAAGGAATTTGTATCAATTTTTCATTTGAATATATTGTAGTATATAATTTATTACAGCAAAATTTATTTCAAATTTCAGACCCTTTGAATGGCTGATTTTGTTGATGATATGTGCAAATTGCATCGCGCTGGCTGTTTATCAACCCTATCCTGCTCAAGATTCTGATACTAAAAATATTATTTTGGTTTGGTTTCAAATTGCTTATGGGGATTATATATTCACATACAACACAATAGTGTACTATTATGAGCATTTTGACTGAGAACCGAATTTCAGATACCATTAATTAGCGGCGGATTATTAATAGTGGTCAAGTAAGTAAGCTAAAAATGTATGAGATTAAGCTTTAACCAGATAGTCGAGATAAGAAGGTAATGTGAAAGGCAACATGATTGAATTACTAAACTTAATTAGCATTTTCGTAATTGCAGGAGCAAATAGAGTATCTGTTCATAGTTGTATTTACGATAGAATGCGTATTGAAAGTTATTGCACTAGGATTTTTATTTCATCCTGGCGCCTACCTCAGGAACGCGTGGAATATACTCGATTTCATTATCGTTGTTATTGGGTAAAGTTTCGTTCCAAGTTGATTAAACGGTTGAAAAAGTATCTATATGGTTAGCAAATACAAATCACATTATTTATTATTGATAGAAAATAGGTTTATAATTAATTTATAATTGCAGACTAGTGAGCACGGCATTATCCAGGATGAACATCCAGGGTTTTGATGTTAAAGCGCTTAGGGCATTTCGAGTGCTTCGTCCTTTGCGTCTTGTATCTGGAGTGCCTAGTTAGTTTATCACATTTGCTATTTATAATTCGAGGAATCTGCTCGCAAACATTTTATTTACTATTATTTAAGAATAGTTTCTCATTTTATAGCCCGTTTAAAAAGAAATTGAAATTCTTGGAACAATATGCTGAAAAATTCCGTAAAAAAATGAATGCTGGCAGCTGATAGTTTTTCACTCACGAAATTCAGAATTAAAAGGAAAATGAGGATGGAAAAAACGTACAATTAGAAAAAAATGTTCTGTCTTGTATTAAGCTAACAATTGCTTATAATGTCGCTGATTTAAAATTAATGAAAGAAAATAGAAATTTGAAATATCATTTAAAACATTGATACTGATTTATTAAAAAAAAAACGAATGAGAAAACTATTAGCGTTATTGATTTAAACTGAAATGAGTTGAAGGTTTACAAGTTGTGTTAAACGCAATTCTTCGTGCTATGATTCCATTGCTTCATATCGCGCTATTAGTCATGTTTGTTATTATAATATACGCAATAATTGGATTGGAGTTGTTTTGTGGCAAACTTCATTCGACATGGTTATTCTTCTACAAATTTTGGAAATTTTCGAAAATTTTGAAATTTTATGAAATGAAAATTGATATTTGCTATAAAGTAGTGCAACAAGCAAATTAGAATTCAAAATTTTCAAAAAAAAAAAAGAAAAAACTCAAAACTCATTCTAGCTTTGACCCAGCAACTGGACAGCTAGCGCAACATACGCCTTCAACATGTGGTTTTGCATCCTCCGCATTCCACTGCCAACCAAATGGTCATTAAAATTTGTATAATTTCGTTTGAAATCAAAAGATTCAATAACTAAAATGAAGAAAAACAAATAGGTTTAAATTCGATACAATCATCGGTCATAAATGACATTAGAATTAATCCCTATTGAAATAAAAATTTTGCACTAATTGATGAAATCATTAGGATGATGGGAACAATTTAATATCAGAATAAGTTATATACTTTTTAAGTTTAAGAAGTTCACTTAGTATCAGGGTTGAAACTATTCTGATAAGTTCATTTGCTTGGTAGATTTATAGATTTCGATAGAATTTGTTCCATTTTGTGCTTGAAACATTATAAAATATTCCAATTTTATGAAATTTGAACAGGACACTACGAAGGAGTGCATTGGATCTGCACGTCGAATACTTCATGGCAGGGACCAAATAATGGGATAACAAATTTTGACAATTTTGGCCTGGCCATGTTGACTGTCTTCCAATGTGTCTCACTTGAGGGCTGGACTGACGTCATGTATTGGGTTGGTGAACTGTCAAATTCAGTTTTCAATCTGAATTATAATAAGGGAAAGTGGAATGAAAAAATGTAGGAATGTCTTTAATCAGAATTCTTAGAGGAGTTGGAAACTTAATTTCACATGTAATATCATCATTACCGACGCTTTTTTTAAACTAAAATTTGGACGGAATTTTGGCTGATCATCTCCCAAATAGCCGTTCTGTGTGTGAAAAGTTATTTCTATTTCAGGTGAATGACGCAGTTGGTCGGGAATGGCCGTGGATATACTTTGTCACTTTAGTTATTTTGGGCTCTTTCTTTGTGCTGAACTTGGTGCTTGGTGTACTTTCCGGGTTATATTTTTTTCTAATTCCTATAATTTGTATATCTACCTGCTGTTGGGACTCATTGGATGTAGTAGTTAATTGATAAATAGTCATTATAGCATACACGTCGAAATTTAAATTTTTAATTTCAGAGAGTTTTCCAAGGAAAGAGAAAAAGCGAGGGCCCGTGGCCTTTTTCAGAAATTTCGAGAGAAACAGCAACTTGAAGAAGATTTGAAAGTAAGTACTCCAAAATTTTTTCCTAAGTAGTTGTTATAAAATAAATTATTTTGATTAAGGTTTGAGATTACATTTCGCATCACAGAAGCTATAACAATATTAAATTTGTAGGGATACTTGGATTGGATAAATCAGGCGGAAGATATCGAACCGGTTAATGATGATGAACAGGAGGATGAGCAACAGTTCAACGGTATGAATTTTAAGGCCTTTTATATGTTGGTATGAAACATGTATTTTCTTGTGTAGTGAGAAAAAATAATAGTGACCGAAAAAATATTTTCATATGAAAAATATCCTGGAATTTTTTTTCGCTCGTTGTTTTTAAACCGTGAATTTGAAGAAAAAATTTAATTTAATGAGATATGAAAAGCAATGATCAGCGTAAATCCTATAGGTGAAGAGCTTGATGAAGTGGCCTATGAGAAAACGGATGATTCAAGACCTTCATGGTGGAAGAAGAGACTACGAAGAATGCAGAAATTGAATCGACGATGTCGACGTGGTTGTCGAAGGTTGGACGCATTTTGGCTCTTATTTCTCAGCTTATTCATTGAGCGCATTGCATTTGTAAGTTAAACAATGATTAAATCACTTTTTCAAAAGTTGGTGGAATTCGGAATCTTATTTCAGGCTGGTAAAGTCGCAAACATTTTATTGGCTAGTGATCATTCTAGTATTGCTCAATACGCTCGTTCTAACCACCGAGCATTACAGGCAAGAACCATGGCTTGACCATTTCCAAAGTTTGTTTTTTATTAATAATATTTTAAGTTGTTTCTCCTAAAGACTTATAAGCCTTAATAAGGAGCAGTAGTATTGCCCGAATGATCATGGAAAGTAACTTTCGTCTGCGTTATCTGATAAGCAATGACCTGTCAGTCTGAGCTATTTGTTGAACTGGTTTCAGGATTCCTGCTAATTCCTGCTACCTTCAGGATTCTGCTGCTATACTCTAATTTCCTTTTGGAACTAAAAAATGAGTTATAAGAAACATTACTCCATTCTTTCAATTGATTAATTGATAGATTATCTTAGTCGACAATTAAGTATGCTAAGCAAAACAATGATGCTTTATTTGGGAATCAAATTTTGAGAGCTTTTTCAATTTATTAAAGTCTTTTTTCAAACAAGAAAATAGTTTCGAAAGTTGTTGTTTTAGCAGTGGCAAATTTATTTTTTGTTATATTGTTTTCAATGGAAATGATTTTGAAAATGTATTCACTCGGTCTGACGACTTATACAACGTCGCAGTTTAACAGATTTGATTGCTTCGTTGTCATAAGGTTTGTGAATAATCGATTTTCTTTTTCATTCCCAGTAATTCAGTTATTCTATTTATTCGGTTCTGTAAAGGAATTTTGAATATTGTTCATATTCTTATTTGTTTTCAGTTCTATTGTCGAATTTGTTCTTGTGTATTTTAATCTAATGAAGCCGCTGGGTGTTTCTGTGCTGCGCTCAGCCCGTCTTCTTAGAATATTCAAAGTTACCAAGTAAGTTGGAGCTATGACTATGTTTTATCCTATTAGCTAAGCGTTTTCTTGCATAACAGTTGGGATTGAATATTTTTTAAGTTTTGGAAAATGTTGGTGGATAATATTGGTGAATTTTTCAGAACCACACGTTTTCATAGTATTAAAATGTAATTAAGTTTTGTAATTATATCATCAGACTACCAGGACCGCAAGATCATTTAAATACTGTAATATCCCAGCAATGACATGAGGCATGTCACGTCTAGCAGTGCTCCCAGAAAATTCCACACAAATTTTTCTTTTTGAAATCTCAACACTTTCTGACTAAACTGCCTGGAGCGCCAAATTAAATTAGCCAAATTGACCTTATCAGACAACATTTTGGCAATATTTCCTGCTCATCCAATGCTTCCAAGAGCATACTCCTATGTAACTCGGCCTTGTTTTCTATTTTATACAATGTCTTATCCCTGGAAGAATAAATTAGAGATGAACAACCTCTGTATGAATTTGCAGGTACTGGACCTCGTTGCGCAACCTTGTTTCTTCTCTGCTCAATTCTCTTCGCTCCATTATGTCACTTCTGCTACTTCTTTTTCTCTTTATTGTTATTTTCGCTTTACTTGGAATGCAGGTAATTATTTGATGATTCTTCCAAGATTTTGCAATTGGTAAAACATTGACTGCGTGATTGTATAAAATGTAAGATTCTCAAAAGTAGTTTACGAGATATTGAATATCCCTACCTGTAATACGGTGGAAACCAAATACGATTGAGCATTGAGCTCCTTGAAGGAAGTTCACAACACTAAATGTAAGCTATATTGGTGAAATAAGAAGTATACGTAAACCATGAAATTCATAATGCTACTTTTACAAATGTAAATTTTGTGTTCATAAGTGGTACTTTGATTTCAGGTGTTTGGTGGTAAATTTAATTTCAACCCAATGAATCCTAAACCACGTGCAAACTTCGACACTTTTATCCAGGCGTTATTAACTGTATTTCAGGTAATTATTAGTTAAGTTCTTCTCTCTTTTTAGGATGAATAATTCGAACAAATCTTTGAATGATCACTGCAAATTAATCTTTCAAAATTTACGGGTTAATTATGCAATCATTGATAGCTGTTTTTAACCACTGATAGCTTTATCGACCATTAGCGCTTAATGAAGTACAGTGCAATTTAAAATGTTAAGTCTCAATTCATGTTTTTCAAGTTTCAAAAAACATCGTGTTGTCTGTTTCAAAGCACTGAGAACTCTTCTTTTGTATTCTTGTTATCAGATCAGTTACCATATGCACCGTTAATTAATTCAAGATCTGAATATCAATATGTGAGACTTGAGTTAGCATTTATATAAACTAAGTTTAATTAATTGGATTACATTACATTATATTTTTTTAATAGATATAAACTTTCTAACTGGATTACATTACATTATTTTCATACTAGTAGATATGAATTTTAGATTCTAACTGGTGAAGACTGGAACACAGTGATGTACAACGGTATCGCATCATTTGGTGGTGTTGGCTCATGGGGCGTGCTTGTTTCCGTTTATTTCATTGTTTTATTCATTTGTGGTAATTATATATTGCTCAACGTCTTCCTTGCCATCGCGGTTGACAATTTAGCCGATGCAGACAGTTTAACAAATGCGGAGAAAGAGGAAGAACAAGCGGGTATGCTTTTACTTTTCTCATGGTTTTAAAATGGCTTAAGGTGCATTGATTTAAATTGTCAAAAAATCTGTTAAGAAAATACTTTCACATCTAATCGATTGAAGTTAGTGTTGCAGAAGTTGAAGAAGAAGTGGCAGAAGATGACTATGAAGATGAAAAGTATGATGAAAATGGTAATGAGGAGACGAGAGACGATAGCAGGTTTCTTTTCATTTACATTTAAAATTTAGTGAAAATTTTGCTAAATCTTAGGTTTGGTACGACAGTTCCACATTTTTATTAGCAGCCACAAGTCAGAGGCTATTATTTTCGACTTTTTATTTTTTGAGTTACGTCAGAAGATGAAGTCGCTCTGATTATTCATCTGTTGCGCATACTTATCCCATTGTCCAGCGTGGATTGTCTATGTATTTTACAATATTAGTGATTGGCTGTGTATTCTGCAATATAGCTAATTTCCCGAAAGTTATAAACGAAACATGAAATCTTGTTGTTGTAAATTCGAAATTATAGTGAAACTGACAACTGCTTCAGAATAGTTATGGAAGAAGAAGAGGAAGGCGGTGAAATAATAACTGCACGACCTCGCCGGATGTCCGAATTGGTTACTGCCAAGCAACAGAAGCCTATCCCAAAAGCTTCATCATTGTTCATTCTTTCTCATACAAATCCTTTTCGGTGAACTTTTTAATGTTTAATATAATATTGTGAAAGTTCGAAATTTCCTTAATACTTGACTTGAATTGAATATGAACATTTATCGAAAATATGGAATCCGGTCAAAATTAACTATTGGAAAAGTGTAATGAGGGAAAATAATATGTCTCGATTTTATTTGAAAGTTACTTTATTATTGTTATTTATTGACAAATGTAATGTGAATGTTAATGCGTAAAATTATCAGTACGTATTCTTTTTCAGCATTCAAGAACATATTTTCTATTTTTATAGATAATTTAAAACGTTGCAGGGTATTTTGTAACAAAATTGTCAATCACTCCTACTTCACAAACAGTGTGCTGATATGCATTCTTGTATCCAGCGCAATGCTTGCAGCAGAAGACCCGCTGGAAGCACAGTCACCTCGTAACACAGTAATTTATTATCAATTTTATTTAGTGTGCTATGTTTGTCATGTATCTTATCAGTAGTATCGACTATTGTCTGAGAAAGAAGTGATATAGTTTAAAATTATTTAAAGTTATTAAACTTCAAGTCTTTGTAGGTTATGATGTGCGTTACAGAATTTGCACTTTTTTTCTATTTATATCTGCAATGGTGGATGTGGTACCAAATAGAGTAGTAATTACTAAAAAATTGGAACTCATGTAAGTGATATAATATTTCCGAAGTTCCTATATTTTTACAGATTCTGAATTATTTCGATTATTTTTTCACTACGGTATTCACTGTTGAAATAACGCTGAAGGTGGTTGTTTATGGATTAATGTTTCACAAGGGTTCATTCTGTCGGAATGCATTCAATCTACTGGATATTCTTGTTGTCGCTGTATCTCTTATATCTTTTGTCCTCAAATCAGATGCTATTTCGGTTGTTAAAATTCTTCGAGTCCTGCGGGTGTTGAGACCATTGAGGGCAATCAATAGAGCCAAAGGCCTCAAGGTTACATTGATTTACCTTTATTCTGTTTCACTTTCACTTATGTTTTGAAAAATACGAAACTAAAAGTTTAGCTAAGAATTGAAGAATCCTGAAAACGTTAGTTGCAAGAATAATAACATAGACATTTTTATAGCACGTCGTACAATGTGTTATTGTTGCGGTAAAAACGATCGGTAACATCATGTTGGTTACATTTATGCTACAATTCATGTTTGCCATCATTGGTGTTCAACTCTTCAAGGGTACTTTCTTCCGCTGCACAGACGAATCGAAAATGACTGAATATGAATGCAGGTTGATGCATATTTTGTTAGAAAAAAATCTAATGAAGAAAATATTGACTTCTCCTGTATCAGTGAATTATTTGATTAATCAGAATTTGTATTTGTAGAGGCGAGTTTCTGGCCTATGAAGATGGTGATCCAATGAAACCATTGCGAATGAGACGTGAATGGATTAAGAATGATTTTAATTTCGATAATGTTGGCGACGCTATGATTTCACTATTTGTTGTTTCCACCTTTGAAGGTTGGCCTGAGTAAGTTTCATTTTTTGATTTGTTATAATTTTTCATCACATATAACTATCACCTCAAAACTGATCCACTGAAATTTTTTGGCTTATTTTCTTCAAAAGTCCAAAAAGTATAATAAAAATGTCATCATATTTGAAATAGTACGTTTGCGAATTTGAAATAATGGATGGAATAGAGTAGTTGTGGAAACGATGACCTGCAGTGGTTTTACTCGACACGTGTTAGGGTCTCAGTAACATTGAAAATAATGCATAGAGGTCGGGTTGGTCTTGTCGATCGCATTAAAATGATCATGATCTCAGTCTGCTGTATGTGGCCATAAACTCCAACGAAGAAGACCATGGCCCATTATACAATGCTCGCCAAGCGGTTGCTATATTTTTTATCACATTCATTGTTGTCATTGCATTCTTCATGATGAACATCTTTGTCGGTTTCGTTATCGTTACTTTCCAAAATGAAGGTGAAAGAGAATATGAAAATTGTGAGCTGGACAAAAATCAAGTAAGAATTTAAATTCTTATTTAGCTAAATTTATTGAAAATTCTCTTATTAATTAAATTTATATAATTCTGATTTGGTTAAATTTATTAAAAATTCTCGCACATTTCAAGTGTATGCGTATAGTTTACTTTTATTTATTATCTGAATTGTATTATTATATTTTAGCGTAAATGTATTGAATTTGCATTGAAAGCGAAACCACATCGGCGGTATATACCTCACAATCGCTTCCAATATCGTGTTTGGTGGTTCGTAACGTCGCAATTCTTTGAATATGTTATATTCATCATCATCTTACTAAACACGACTACGCTGGCGATGAAACATTATCCTCCAGATCCTGGTATGGACAACGTACTCGATGTGCTCAATCTCATTTTTACGGGAGTTTTCGCACTTGAAGCAGTATTTAAAATCATCGCCTTAAATCCCAAAAATTACTTTGGAGACAGGTAAGATTTTCTTATTTCTTTGAAAGTTTCTTTCTTTCCATTTTGGGAAATTGAAATAAACAAACAATTCATTCGTTCACCTTTTGCATTTTGCGCCTGCCACTGGTCTTTCAGTACTCGCTGGAAACAGGCTTTCAATGATCTATCGGAAGAAGCTGATAGTTCCATGCTATCGGCTTCTTTTGAAGTGGAAGTTCCATATTTTCATTTTTAAATATTCCATTTAGTCCACCTGCTGCTTAGAATACTCAAACTGTTTGACTTCAGCTTCTCAGCATATGCAGTGGTCTTTTTGTCTTAATTGAAACTTTTCGGGATACATCCAGCCGCACCAGTAAGGAAGCCATTGCTAATTTCATCCGACAATTCAATTCAAGTTTCTGGAAAGGCATAGGATTACTAGCAATACTTTTTTTCTTAATAAATTGCAAGTTTTGAACTTTAAAATTTGGAATTGTCAGCTTATATGGTTCCATTTGCAGGTGGAATGCATTTGATTTTGTTATCGTGTTAGGTTCGTTTATTGATATTATTTACGGGAAGCTCTCGCCTGGCTCAAATATCATAAGCATTAATTTTTTTCGTCTCTTCCGTGTGATGCGATTAGTAAAATTGCTAAGTAGAGGAGAAGGAATTCGAACATTACTGTGGACTTTTATGAAGAGCTTTCAGGTTTGCTTTTAAAGTACTTTTTGAAAACTTGAAAGTTTGGTTTTTATTTTTATGTAAGAAAATTGTCATCTAAACCTACTGCCAAATATCACTTTTAATTTTGTCTTTGCAGGCGTTGCCATATGTTGCCCTTCTAATTGTTTTGTTATTCTTTATTTATGCTGTCATTGGAATGCAGGTATGTTTTTTTGATCAACTTAATTCTTTAAAAAATGACCTTGGGCTTTAAATATGAAGTTGTTAAATTTTAAAGTGTTTCTATTATTTTTACTTTTGAGATTGTTACGAATAAGATCGATGGTGTTTTTCTTCAGCAATGAGTTTTATCGATCAACAACTTTCTATCAGTAATTAGTATTTATAGGTATTTGGAAAAGTAGCTCTAAATGATGAGACTCATATTCATCGCAACAACAACTTTCATACATTTCCTGCTGCTGTGCTTGTCCTCTTTCGGTATCGTTTTTTTCAATTTCATTTAGATTTGATTGACCAGAAATTGAATCCCTTCAGCATAATTAATGGGAATCCATAAATCTAATGTTTGAAATTGTAAAAGGTCGGCAACTGGTGAAGCATGGCAAGAAATAATGCTCTCTTGTTCGGATAGAGATGAAGTGAAATGTGATCCGGCTAGCGATGATTACAAACAGAATCCGGATGCAAAATGCGGAGTGGATTTTGCCTACCCATATTTCATCTCGTTCTTTATGCTTTGTTCTTTCCTGGTAATCTTAATTCGTAAAAATGAAATAATTACTTTAATTTGATAGAAAAAGTTCAGACTTATTAATTTGTTAATTTTTTGCACGGAGCTTCCTTTTTTTGAAGGTTATAAATTTGTTCGTGGCAGTTATTATGGACAACTTTGACTATTTAACTCGAGATTGGAGTATCCTTGGGCCACATCATCTAGAAGAATTTGTCCGATTGTGGTCGGAATATGATCCGGACGCAAAAGGACGAATAAAACACTTGGATGTCGTTACTTTGCTACGTAAAATTTCACCACCACTAGGTTTTGGCAAACTTTGTCCACACCGACTTGCTTGCAAGGTTTTTTTTCAAACTGAGAATTGTTGATTTTCATATTTCGTTGAATTTCACTGACAAGAAAGTAAATAAAATCAATTCACTGATTACTACAATGCAAATACTTTGGTAGCAGCGTGACTGTACGTTCAGCTCACTCACACTTGAACTTTTTTAATAAAACTCTTTCGTTTGCAACTATACCATTTGTAATTTTCCATTATTTGTTATTGAAAGTCAAAATTAGCTTTCATTTACTTAATATTTTTATGGGCTGTCAAAGTAGCTGACAAGTTTTGCAAGAAAAATCATTTGAATAAGTGCAAATTTATGGGCTAATGGAGAAGTAACACCGGCACAGCAATATATTGGGAAAATAGTACTTTAAATGAAAAAGTAATGATTACATAATTGGCTACAACTGAGGTCACGGCTGAGTTCAATTTCATATAAGTTTTTTTTCATCGTGCCTCATCAACTGTTATGCTGAAAAGTTTTGCAGCGTTTGGTATCAATGAATATGCCGTTGAATTCAGATGGTACAGTCTGTTTCAATGCAACACTGTTTGCTTTAGTGCGAACAAATCTAAAAATTTACACAGAAGGAAATATCGATGAAGTGAATGAACAATTGCGATCAGCTATTCGTCGAATTTGGAAGCGTACTCCACAGAAAATGCTGGATGAAGTGGTGCCACCAGCAGGAAGTGATTCTTTTACTACAATTTAATGAATTTTTGTCATTTTTGTAATCAAATTTTTAAATATTTATACGAATTTTAAATACAGTAATTAAATTTCTAAATATTTTATTAGAAAAATATTGCTTCTGCTTATCGTCTATTAGCATAAAAACAATTAAAAAGAGTATATCATTGCAAAATGTTGTTGTATTCCTCTTAAAATATTTAAGCATAATGTTTCCTGATGCTATTATTTAAAAATGTTGAATGCTGAAAGATTTCTGCTCTTGAAAAAGTTCTTTTCATTTCAGGAGATGATGACGTTACAGTCGGAAAATTTTATGCTACTTTCTTGATTCAGGATTATTTTCGTAGATTTAAAAAAAGAAAAGAACTGGAGTCCAAAGGTAAGTAAACATTAATGTCGTTTCCTTTATGAAATAAGATAACAGGGGAAAAAAACTGTGAACATAAGGGGTCGAAAAGATTCCAGATATCTGAAATTGAAAAAAGAGCAATTTTATCACAATTTCTAGTGGTTATTGATTAGGTGTACTCGTATGGTACTAGTTTCACTATTAATTTTAGGCATTGTACCGCAGCAAACTTCACAGGCAATGGCCTTGCAAGCAGGCTTACGAACGCTTCATGAAATTGGACCAGAATTAAAACGAGCAATTTCGGGCAATTTAGAAACTGATTTTACGTTAGATGTGGAAGAACCTCAACATAGAGTTGCTTTTATTTCCTTTTTGAATTTTGTTGTTTCCACATTAAAGTTTTTTGGGATTTGTTGAAAAAGAGTTTATCATTAAGAAGATGGATTTGACTTCGACAAAAGATAAAAATTGAATTTCAGCGTCCCCACTCACTTTTCAACAACATCATTTCGACACTCGGTGGTTCGTCTCGAGTCAATCAAGTCTATCGTGAAGATCGAGCAATTCGATCACTTCCAATGACTGGTATGCTTTCTAAACTTACTTCATACTTCTATTCACTTTATATTCTTTGAATTCCGCATAATAATTTTCATATCTGACAACGAAAAGAAAGCATTTTTGTTTCTTTGGACCTTATATCATAAGAAAAATACGATGTTTATTACAAAAATATAAGTACATTTGATATGAACTTCAACCATTTGTATGCTACCGAATTTTGTTAGTGTTAAGTTTTGAAATTTGTTAAAAATATGATACATTTCAAAATAAAGGTTCTAACTAGTGATTAGTAACACCTTTCTTTGTAGGAAAAAGTATAGATATCTTATTATTGGTAGAAAGTATTAATACTTCCAGCTAACCGTCAACTATCTCCTACACGTTCATTGTACGGTAATGATATGATGTCAGTGACAACCCATGGTAACACTAATTGTTCAATCAATATCCCACCATCGGCACGCTCCAATGGTGGTGTTCTACAACGACGCCTACCTCAAATACCTTCTCCAAATATATCCCTTGATCAGAAATTACTGGAAAATGATTTACTCAAAGTGTCACGATTGCCTATAAAAGCCGAACGTCGTTATATACTGGCCAATAGAAGGTTTGCTTGAGTTCATCTCGAATTTCTAAAGATTTTTAGTCCTAAATAAGTTTGTATTTTGATTGAAGTATTATAGTATCAATCAACAAATTCTTTTCGCAGCATGCCTTTGGATAGAGATGAAGAAGAATGGTGCGAAAGGAGAGATACGAATAGATTGCGAAATGATGAGACGTGGACAAATGATGGTAGGCCTGGAAAAGGTTTAAGGAAACCTTTCATGCTAGTAAGAAATCAAGCAATGGCTATTGCCGGTGTGCCAACTGATATAAGTGAAGCTTTTGAAGGCACATATAGGTAATTCTAACTAGTTTTAACTGTTCTTACTTTTTCATGGAAATGTTCCAAAGAACTTTCGAAATAGTACTAGATTGCCAAATAAACATCTAATATTGATGTTATATTTAGACCAGCACCAGATGGGAAATCGGTACGGCTACCACTTTCAAACAGACCAGTATTAAGGCCACCAGATGGAAATGACGAAGGCTTAACCGAACGTCTTGTTGGTGAAGCTCTGGCACTGGGTAGATATATGGATGAACGCGTTGTTGAGGCAGCGCGACGAGAAATCGCAGAAGGTACTTCTCAGTGTCATAAAGAACGTATATGAGTGTTTGAAATTGTCTAAATTAATTCCTATGTATCTTCCGAATTTCAAGTGCAATTGTTGTATCTTTTCAGCTTATTCATTGGAAGAATCAGAGCTTGAAAGTGCAGCGGCAACATTGGCAGATGCACATTACATGGAGCATCTTGGTATGGAACGTTGTGAAGTACAAGATTTCAACAGATATTCAGCACGGGCGCTTCTGAGACCTGCACCGTCACAGGAAGCCCCTGAAGACGATCTCTTTGTTACAACGTTGTAATTCTGGAGTAGTGCTTTTATCTGGAAGATTCCCTTCAAAACTTCCCTCTTCTTTCTCTTAGTCGATTTCTAGAAATAACCTACATGGGTGGCTATGGTCGTTCTTCTAAGTTTTTTAGTGAAGGCCAATAGAAATTGATTAGCTCAGAGAACTGCGCCTTCTCTGTTTTTGTTTGCTAGAAATCTTATTCATTTCATTGTAATTCAGAGTTTTTTCTTCATTTTGAAATAAAAATCTGAAATGACTTTGGAGAATTTTTTCTGTGATAAGTCACATTGAGCCTTCTCAAAAGTGATTCCTTCACCGAAAATTTTGAGGGTTATTCGGTGGTATGAAATACGAAATGTAAAAACTTCTAACAGAAAGACACATAGAAACATTATAATAATTTGTATTTGAAGTGTCCTTTCATTTTTTTTCACTTGCTGCTATGTACAGATTTTGTAGCGATTTTATCTTGAAAGCTAAAACGTTTGGGAATATTGTCTCCGAATGAACATGGTGCTAATAAACTGGTTTTTTATATCTCACCTTCACAGAAATGCTGTGACGAAAGGACCAGTAAGTTACATTTATGATTGAAATCCGTCTTCTCTCTCTCAGAAGACAAACTGTAAAATGTTACAAGGAGCCAAAAATATAGTGTTAAGCAGAACTGTGTAGTTACCCATCGGATAAGTCACCTTCTATCACGGTAAGTGAGCAGCTTAAGCATTATGTTATGGTTGGCTTAAAATAGTATCCATACTACCAATGGCGTGAAGTTCGTTTGATAATATGACCGGGAGTTGTGAAAGTGAATTTTTGTAGTATTTTCGGGTGCATGAATAAAAAGACAACAGTATCCACATACATAAACAGTTATTAACTAAATAAACACAACATAAGCATACTAACATGCATCATGCAATTGGATCGAAGCATGGCCACTCACCACACTTCACGTGATATTATTAAAACCTTTCCTAAGTCTAATTTTGATTTTTTTGCTTCGTAGCAGAGAACACAAATGATCTTAGATATTACATAATTTCTAAGAAAAGATTATGGTCAATAGGATGGAATAGACTCAAAACGGATGGACTCATTTTTACTGAAGACAATAAATTTGAGGAATAAAATAAGACATGAATATTTTTCCAGTATTATGGGATGCAGGACTTTCTACTCGAACAATATCAATGAAGAGGAGGTAAGGAGAAAGGAGAAGGCAAGAGAGAGATAAGAAGACGTAGTGAATGGGATAAATTTCCATAATCTATTCCGGAGGGCGCAGGTTAAATTCAGAAAATCCTGAGTTACACAGCCACTTATCTTCAGAGCTAATCTTTACAAACAATTTCGAATAGCTGCAAAAGCCAGCAGGTGGTTTAGAAGTGATGACATGTGAGCAGTAGCAACGTATGGCTGGATGATGTCGAGAGTTTGGCAGTATATTACTTTCTTTCCTGGTCGAACAATGCGTTATGTTATTTCCTGTTTTTACATTTTTGATGCTTAGGACATATTAATTTCAGATCGTCTTTTCGAGAACAGTGTGACAGATGTATTCCGTCAAACCATATCTGAATTCCTACGAAGATATGGGTCTGCCTGATGTGATGTATTCAGTAAAGAGTTATCATTACATACCTCATACTAACGGTATGTTACTCATATATTAAATCTGGAAACATTATTGATTATTTTGAGGTTCTGATATCGTGTTATTCTGCTATGGTGATGGAGCAGACTACTGGAATTCCTAGAGCCCATTTGTGGTATTTCGAAACTTTTAATATCTTCATTAACAAATATTTACAGAATCGATAGAAAATGTTGCAAGTGGTATCAGTGGTATCAACACTGCTATGGAAGAAAGTTTAGAGGAAATTATTGACAGACATCAAGTAGAGCTCATTGAAGAGCTTACAGTATTTATTAATCATTTAAATAAAGCACTAACAAGCTGTTCTTCGTTTTCAATAAAAAGTGAAGCAACATTCGGAGAGCCGAAGACTCACTCCAGCCTTCTCCATCAACAATTTACATTTAGAAAGGTGAACAATATTGCTCCAAGTTTGTTCACAACTGCATTTCAAATTCATAGCTAATCTTATTAATAATCATATCGTTTATGGTACTAAAATTGCATTGTAAGCTCCCTTTTTTTATCGAAGATTTCGAGAACTATAGGATTTACTTTTCAGAATAAAGTTGGTACTTCAGCAAAGGAAGAGGTGGGTACATCCTATCTTCCTGCATTAACTGTTTTCGAAACTGTAAAATATCTCGTGAACACTGTCACACTTGTTGGCGATACTGAAGAACTGTGGTTAAAAAACTTGGCAAGAGTTGGTGCCAGAGCTTCCATAGTGTTTGAAGGATTAAATGATGGGATCAGTACACCACATTGCACTATTAAATTGCAAACATCTAACAGCCGTAAATTTTGGTTTCTTGTCTGTATAAACATATCAGCAATGTTCACCATTACATGACACAGCGCACTGTTTGAAATGCTGGACCTATTTCACATCTTATTGCAAAGATAGTGTATGTTTGAAGACAATGGGAACTTTTTTCTATTAAAAGTGAAAAATAGAATCATTATCAGGGGAGCTACTTTACTCTGAGGGATGTATTTCCACGAGTAGGAAAAGCAAATCGATAATTTGCAAGTGGGCCTTTGAATTTTCAAAAAAGATGTTGGTTTATCTCACTTCTTTTAGTAGTAATTACATTACGAAGTAAATGAAAGTGTATTTCTTCAGCTATTGCTTCGTGAAGCCTAGATAAATCTATGGCCAAGCTGTATTAATACAGTTTATTCCTTATCTAGTAACACTTTTTTTGCAGGCAAAAGCTTAATAGCCGAAGTAAATGGCACGAAAGTGTCAGAGCATATCACAGTTTGGAAGTTACTTGGCGCATTGATCTCGCTTTATCCAACTACTCCGAAGCACGCTGATATCTGTACTCATATAGATTATTGGCTGCTACTAATAGATGACGTACTATCGAACAGTAGTAATGAAGATAGTTTATGTCGTGAAATGAGTACTGCTTTAAGTCAGCACGATTATCTGGTTCCAAATGTTGGCGCAACGCTGGCTGATGTTCTTGCATATTCCGTTATTGCGAAACAATCATATTATGCAAATAATGTCGAATTGTGGTTACGACGTATGGATAAATTTCTCCAACAGGCTCAACCATGCTTTTAATTTTGTATTTGTTAAATCTCATTGACGATTTGATTTTCTTTTAATGACAATGGAGTTCAGTTCTGTAAAGTTTAGGAACTCTATGATCATTAACTATTGCTTCAGTTATTGATTCGTTCTATATAACGTAAATGGTCAGTAACGATTTTCTAGATTTATAAAAGAAATAGAATTGTTTTGCCGTTGTCCAATTATTTGTTTCATATATTATTTCGAGGCTTGTTTTGTACATGACATTAAAAAAATTGTTTGCAACTGATATAATTGAACGGTTATACCAAATAAGGAAGTATTTTCCAGTTCCGGATATTTTCATAGAAACTGACATAAGGAAGTTTTGTAACTTGATTGGGACTAACATTGAGCAGCATATGGTACCATAACTTTAACAGCAGAATATGATTGAAAACATTCAATCATAGTTTTTCTTGTTGCGGGGCAAAATACTGTATGCTAAATGCAATTCAGACTCGGCGTGCAGTCTTTGCGCCTGCGATTATTTGCTTGGACGTTACCAAAGGCGCATTACTTCTCTCTGATGTCATTTAAGCTTGGCACGGTACCATTAAGGCGTACGTATCCCTATCTTCAACAGGGTACAATACAATTTAGGGACCGTGTAAAGGTTGGTTCTTTTTTTTTCACTGTATTTTTTTTTTTGAATTATTTAAGTAGACAAATGCGCTTTTATACCGATATGGGGAATTCATGAACGGTTGTCATCATCTCGGAATATTTAGCCCCGATCATTTTGCATGGGTATGCGTTTTTCAGATATTTGCTATTGGTTATAAGCAGTTTCCACAAGATAGACGACATAAGGGTGTTATAGAGTTTGTTTTCTGGCACTGGGCTCAATTGCAGTACAGTAATCCGTATGTTCAGTTGGTGCGGGTTACGAACGTCAGCGTTGTGCCCTTCGGAAAGGCCTTCTTAGGTTAGCTTTAAAAATTTTCGTAGAATTCTGTGGGGTCTCAGTTTTCTGAAACGCAGTTGACCGTGAAATGACATTATATACCGCTACTGATTTTAAAAAGTATTCATATTTCTTTTTCGTTGTTGACTGATTCACTAATTTCTTGCTGTTACCATGTAAATATAACTTATTGATTGCTGTGGTGCTACTCCGATCATGAGTTGCATAACTTAAATGTTCTTGTATTTGTCTGTGACACTATGATAAGAATGGAGAAATTATGAAATAGGTATGTCGGAATTTTCCTTGGTTTCTCAGTGAAATGGAGAGTTACAGATGATGGTCGTGAAGTACTGTTCGATTTAGAAGGTAAGACTCGCGAGGAAATTGAGGAAATGCTTCGGACGACGTTGGGTAAAACGAAAGTTTCGTTGAGGCAAGAACGTCTGAAGAAGATGTTGAGGACCGACCAAGCATTATTTGGGAAGAAATGTAAGAGGGAATGCATTTGTGAAGTGCAAGGCCAGCACTCATGTACATCACTGCTTTATGCGCCTGATTATATGAAAGGGAAGTGGCGGTGGAATCATGACATTTAGGAATTAATCTTTTTGCCAATTTTTTGTTTTGGTTATTTAATGATGATAATCGTTGGGTTTTAGAGATAACACGACTAGCTGTAGGAAAGACAAAAAAGATCTTGCGGATTGAGTTAACTCATTATTGCTCATCTTCAAATTACTTCTGATAGATAAATTTGTGGAAATTTATCGTAACCGTTTGAACCACAAATAAATTACACGCAAAAATACAGACAATACTGACATTATTGTGAAAGCGAATTCCTCCTCTGAAGTTTTTAATTATTGGAATTATGTTGATGGTTTGTTAGATCTCTTGAGAAATAAAAAATTATTCAGTATGATGAAGTACTTGCAAAAAACCTGTTATTATGCCGTTTATCGGGATATTTCTGCTATTTTTGTTGTCGAATGAGTAAAGATTTTGAAATACATGGCATCCAGTTTGCGTTCCCCTTTCTACCAGGTCTTCTTAAAATCCCATTGGTAAGGATTACCACTGCTGTGGTTTCAATGTTTTTTAAAAGGTCTTTATTTCGGTGAAATGTCTTGATTCTGATTTGTATTACTTAATTCTAAACTTCGTTCAAGAACCTATAGGTGTAAAGGGTGACCAATGTATAGCCTGCTGCTGTTTGTATCATGTAATATTACACAACTGCTTCGGTCGTATTGGTTCTTTCACAGTCATATCAAGAGCTTTTCCTTAATTCATTTCACTAAATAGTCAGAGAGTTTGATTCCCCCTACACGGTGGAGTGCGTGTAAGTGAATCAAACTCTATTTGATCATTTGGTTTGATTCACGTATATGGTAGAATGCGAATAAGGATCCATTAAACTTACGGCTTTTGGATTACTTGCGGGGAACTGTAAAGCTTGTTGATTACTTCGGGGAGCCGTGAGGCTTATGGATTATTCTTAAACTTAGTTTATGGATACCTACACACATTCTACCGTACGATTAACTGACTTCCAAAAGCCGATCCCGGAAAAAATATTGTGGCATTCAAAAACAGTCAGACTAACCGAAGGAAATCTTCTTGCTGGAGTAAGTCCCCTAATATGTACTAACTGTCAAGTTCTGAAACTAAAGGAACCGCATTACGAAATGAACCTTTTTTTTAAAGGAAAAGAGCAACGTCCCTTTGTCAATTCGACTTCCTTAACAAACAATTAACGACAAA